ATGTATCTTATATGAACGCATCTTAGCCATAAATTGCTCCTCGTTGCAATGACTCGCACGCTCCTAGAAAAATAAAACACAGTCACCCACACAAGCTACATGCAACAAAAAATAGATTAATTTCATGACAAGAATAGACAAAGCAGACAACTGTACCGAAACTGAAGGTGGAAAGAACCAAGACAAGCCACCAGTGCGACCACAACTCCGTTCTTCTAGTGTCTTGCACAGACACGCCATTTCTATAATCTAATGCATCATCATCACATATACCAAAGTCAGCAATACACGTTCAATCTACTAAATTACACACATAAATGAACTTACCCTTGTTGAAATTTTGGTCCTTGGCAAAAGCTCGACAAAATCTTCACGTGACAAGGAAAGAACCCCGCCACCAACACTAACCAATGTGTCACTGTTATACAATACCAAGTTCAAACAACACAACATTAGAATAAGCAAATACCAAAAACATCCTACAAATATGATCCAATTTTACTTGTAATGATTTCGGGAGGTACCTTTCGGGAAACTCACTACTAAAAGCAAATTGAAGCATCTTTACTGCCTCCAGAGTCAATGGTGTCTCAACAACAAAGGGAGGAGCACGGTACAAAGGTTGTGCTTTCTTAGCTCTGGGATTTGCCCGTTCGAATGGAGAGAGCACATACAAACTAGGCTTCAATTTAGACACACTACGTAGTGCACCTCCCTTTCGCCCCTTTCTTGTTCAAAAACATAAAAAAACAAAACCAGTTCATTAGTAACCACACCATAAGAACCAATAATTAGAAAAATTAATCAAGTGAAATACCTTCACAGCCTTGGAACAACCATCATTAGCAGCAACACTTTCATCACTCAACAATATGAATTTCTCAACTTGCGACGCTTTAGGCTGCTTGCAAGGAGACTTTTTCACAACTTTCACAGAAGGAGATTCAGAACATCTCTCATCTCCAATTTCCCCCTCAGCTTCTCCCGAATTCTCAACTTTGGCAGTCTTGACACATTCCAAGGTAGGAGAAATGGGTTCCCTAGGTTTTTCAACCTCACCCTTCTGATCGTTCTTTTTCAACTCAGCTGTAGGAGAAATGGGTTCCCTAGGCTGCTCCCTTGACAACGGATCACCTACAGTTGCTTTCACTGCCTCTATAAGGGACTTCACTGCAGTACCGATTTCGTCTCTAAAAGCCCGAAATTCGTTCTCCATTTTCACAACCCGGCTCATTAGCTCATTATCTCTAGAAGCAGCATCACCCATTGCCACTCTAAATTCTTGACCAAAGTTGTCAATTCTACCCTCCATGGTACTAAACCGAGCATCAATACGCTCATAGAGAAGTAGCTCATCCCCGTCGGGTTTGTGCCGTTTCCCATCTACTTCTCCCCGTTTCCTTGGAGGTGATTTCAAACCGGCATCCTCAGCTGATCTTTTCCCCGAACTGCTGGAAACCTATAAATTAATTAAAAAGGGAACCAAATGTACCATTAGCATGCTCCAACTTGTCAAAAAAATCAAATATACTATCAATCTTACCACTTTTGTTAACAATAACTCCACGTCTCCACTCCCCCAACTCATCAAATCCAAACTCCCATCAACGGTTTGGAAAATACCATTTGCATGCTCCAAGAATATTAACTACAAAAAAAAAAATACTATAATCAACATGATGATTAATCATTACAAATATGTAGAAAGTCGGGATTAACAATTATTTACCTCCAAAAACAGCAAGCAACCCGGTATATACTCTCTTTTAGAAGCATTATGGTCGCAGATGCATTTGACCAATTCATTGAAGCAAAAGGATGCCCAATTCTTCTTCGGAATGTCTGCAACATCGGTGACAGCGTATACCGAAGACAAGGAAATGTCCTCTCTTCTAGTTGGTACTAATAGCACCCCCATTACGTACAAAATAAACATTTGAAGAAATAGATCGTCGCTATCTTTCATCTTCGACAACTCCTTCTTCATTAAGCTTGTGGAAATCGCCTGTCGGCCACATTCACGTGTCGAAAACACTCTAAATGGTTCCAGTTCCTCTGATCTTCCCTCCACTTCTTCACCATTCAAGATGATATCAGTACCTCCCTCAGGCACACCCATAATTCGCTCGAAATCTTTGGCCGAAATATGCACTTCCAACCCATACGCCTTAATTGTGCTTTCTTCCAGATTAAAGCTCTTCACAAGTTTCTCCAACAACTCACGTTGTAGCTTTCTTGCTTTGACATCAAGAATACGACCAAAGCCACATCTCCTAATGGCCTCTGATTGACAAGCCTCTAAATTTGAGACTACTGAGAATACTTTCCTAGGAGAACATCGCGTGCTGAAAATTTGATGCCTCTTCGTCTTCATTATAGAACAATTTTAGCAAACTGCAAAATTAAAACAACAGAAAAATTATAAGCATGCCTTGAAACACGAATTATAAGCATGCCGAAGAGTACAAACAAAATACAAGTTCTAACTACCAGAAGAACTGAAAACCCCCTACATCAACACCTGAGTACACTAATTAACCATGAAAACACCCAGCTTTCATTAAATTTCACCCAAAATGCAAAATCTCACGGCCGTGACATGACCCGTGAGAAGCAAAGAGAAGTTTGCATATCTCCAGACAATCACACGGCTTATTCTCACGGCCGTGAGAATTTACAAAGGGGCCGTGAGAATTTACAAAGGGGCCCGTGAGAATTTACAAAGGGGCCGTGAGAATTTACAAAGGGGCCCGTGAGAATTTACAAAGGGGCCCGTGATAATTTACAAAGGGGCCCGTGATAATTTACAAAGGGGCCCGTGAGAATTTACAAAGGGGCCCGTGAGAATTTACAAAGGGGCCGTGAGATGCCCATCATCCATATCCAAAAACACGGCTCATCTCACGGCCGTGACACTGTCGAAGGCAACCCGTGAAAACCTCTGGGAAACTGAGAAGTGTGTTTTTACATACACGGTCTCTCTCACGGCCTATCTCACAGCCGTGATATTTCCAGAATTACATCCACGGTCTCTCTCACAGCCGTGATATTTCCAGAAACCACACACAACTTACAACTTTTGAGAGCTAAATAACATGACCACGAGCATAGCCACTAAGCTTTCCATAACCCATGACACCACCATAAACACTCGCTCTATTTCCATCCAAACTGGCTAAAACTGAAGTCACCCTGATTTCATGAAATAGTTCTTGACTAACACACTCAATTGCACCTTTCATGCAGCCAAGCAAGACCCTTCAATTAACAGTCCAAAATGTAATCAACAAGCAACGGTAACGACACTACAAACTGAAAATAATCAAACTGAGTATGAACTTTCCTATTCGATTTGCCTCCATAAAACACAAATCAAGTCTCTCCAATCAAAAACCCATTCCTTACATCCATAAAACCCAATCAAGACCAAAGAACTAAAGAAGCAAGCAGAACAACCCCAGCACAGTTATTCTCTTCAGTTTGAAAGCAAAGGCAACAACGAAATGAACAACCCCAGCACAGTTTATGGGATTATATAAACCAAGACAGCTTCCTAGTTGACACTGAATCCTCCATTCACAAATACCTCCTAGGTCACATCAACGATCTGTGTGAGGAATGAAGTTATATGGTGGATGGCCACAACTATTTGCACAAAAAAGTGCAGACTTTCTGAAGCTTCATCAATCACGGAATGACTAAAGATGCCCCCATCTCAATCAAACTCGGCCGTGACAAAATACAGCACAACCAAGAACTACACTTGAGAGAGCTTCAATACTCATTGCACAAGACGTTAAAGCTAAAGAGATAGACAAACCAAATCACAGAAGAAGACACTGGAAAAGATGGAGCACATCAGAATTCCCACTTCACACAACTGATAAAACCGAGAGAGGGAAAGGAATATTGCATCTTATATCACCATATCCAATTGAGAATGCACATGAAGAAAGCAGTGGAGAAGCTTCAATTTCAATCCCAAATGGTTACACAGAATTGAGAAATTCTCTCTTCTACTTCCATAGTTCAATTTGGTAAAACGAGCATGGAATTTCAATCCTATGATTTGGCAACCGATCCTTAGTAGACAACTTGACATTTCCAGAGAAATAAGTCAGACATTCAAAGACACCATTATTGTACTCGAAGCTGCTCCAACAAATGCTCTAGAAGCTAGAAATTGAATGTTTATCAAAGGGAGATAAGAATTTCAGCCACTTACATCGAATGAATGACTGAGTCGTCGTTTCAAATCGGAAATCGAATGCTTTATCACCCAATTCTCGCTATTGCAGGAGTTCTCCTACCCGGCGCTAGTTGACTCGTCGTTGTCGATTGGGCTTTTCGAGTCTTTGATTCCTTCTGAGTCTTCCTCCAGTAAAAGAGTCTCTGCCACCTTCAGAATTCAAGTCCTCTTTGTCGTCGCCACTGCTCACCCCCTTTACTATCTACGAACAGACCCACCGCGAAACACAATCCCAGGAGAGGAAAGTTGAAAAACGATCAGACCCACCGCAAAACACAATCCCAGGAGAGGAAAGTTGAAAAACGATCAGACCCACCGCACAATCTCACCGTTTCCGTCGCCGATGCTCAAGCCCTTCAATATCGACGAAGAGACCCACCGCGGAAGAGCACAGTTCACAATCGCGAAAGGGTTCCCCCCAATTTCTTTCTTCTCACAACGTCGCTGTCGCCCTAGATGCAGGTTCGCCGTCGCCGTCGCACTATTTCAAATGCAGGTTCGCCGTCGCCGCGGAAGAGACGCTCTGAAATTCCACCTCGGAAGAGAAGCTCTGAATTTCGACGAGCTCGATCGCCTTTTTTTTTTATGCAGTGAAGGGTTTCTGTTTTGATGCAGAGCTCGATCGCCTGGATTTCAATTTTTTTTAAAATGATTGTGTAATGAACCGGTGCAACAGGTTACCAGTCCACAAGTGAAAATAATAATAATTAAATAATTTCAATCCAATGGCTGATATTTTATAACAAGATCTAATGGCTCTAAGTATATTAAAGCATGGGTACTATATAGCATACTAAAATGCCTCTGGAGCTTATCCTGCTTAATCATTGAAGCTCAATTGAAACCCAACATCAAAGTAACCATACAAATTAAAGTGAGCAATCCTAATTACCAATCGACCAATTCACCCTCATACTAAATCACCGAAATTCTTTTTGGTACTTAACCAAAACAATAACACACCTGTATGCAAATTAGGGATCCCAACCATTACCATGTAAATCCAATTTCAAGGAATCTAACATACGAATAAAGAAACTAATCGAAATTATTAAAGCAAATGTACTCCAACCATGCTATAGAAGAGGAGAAGATCATCAATAGGAGGTGGAAGACAAATCGGCATCTCAAGTTCTGAAATTGCAGTCTGTGGAGGCTGCAGGTTCCTCGGTTTGGGAAGAGTTAGTCAAGCCGCCTCATGCGTCTTGCCGGTGGATGATCCTGAAAGAAGCTTGATGGTAAGTTCTTCGGTTCTAAAAGGCACTTCTTCTTTGAAATTCCAGGTCGATGAATCCTAAGTCACCAGCAGTGGGAGTGCTTAGAAAGCTAATCTAGTGTCCGGCCAAACATTATTCATCATGCATCAATCATCAACTTCATCACCTACCTACACATAGCTTAAAATAGGACTTCTTAACAAACCTACACATTATAGCATTGCTGGCAGTTCAATAGTTCATCTGCAAAAAAGGAAATTCAAGAGATGATTACTTGAAAGCAAATCATCAATGGAGCTTCGAGAAGAAAAATTAGAGCAACCAAGTTCTAAAACTGAGATCGGAGCTGCTAATGGTGATCGTATATGCAACCTACATACCCCCATTTGGGTATGAACTCCCATTTTCTTGGAAAAGGTAACCCATGGATACTGGTTATAACAAATCATAGACCAAGACAGTGGAAACTGCAGTCCCACGGTCAGTCAAAACTCGAGCACTTTAGCTTGATATCCACTAACCGTTAGAAAGCAAATATAAAAAATCTAATAGATTGGACTTTTCTAGTAGAGGATTTACTAACTATCAAAGCAGCAAAATGAACCCCAACAGGCAATGCACCACTGGAAGATGGAGAAGAGGAGCAAGCGTAAGAGTTTGCTACCTATTTTTTTGGTTTCTTTAGAGTTGTATTCGAGCTGAAATATCAATTGTACATGAGCCCATCAATCCCACCATGCTACACCTTTTTCCCAGCAGAGAATCATCTATCACTGAGCTGCAGCCACATCAAAACTCCATACGCGTTCCTCCCAACCGATTTCGCACAACATAGTTCCCTTATTTTGCAACTGAAACCAATGACAAAGCATTAGCATCGAACCCCAGTAAAAGGTTTAATAATTTACTTAAAAACTGAACGCACACATGAAAAATTAATAGCAACATATTGTGAAGTTCTCATCAAAGTATGAATTACCGACCCGAGAACAACAAACATATTCATAACATAGAGATACAAATGACTAAAACCAACATGAACTTTCAAGTCATGACTCATGTGTGGTTTCCAAGCATACATCTTTTTATGCAAAATAACAAAATCATTAGTGGCAGTAACAGTAGTGCATGATAGGAAAGCATTTGGTAATACCAGATGGCAACTCAATTGTCAAATGAATGGAAAATCAGCACAACAAACTTACAGTAAGGAACTTATACAAAATAACCCAACAAAAGGAACAATTGTCGGACACCACTGAACCACCAATCCCTGACAAAGCTTATCATCCTAAACAAAGAAGCTACACACAGAGGCAACATAGACAAATCCTCTAAACTCAACTTCCCATCTCAGATCGTCGAGCAATAATAAGCAAAGAAAAAAAACAACAACCCTCGCAATAAGAAAGAACATAAAACACCTTGTTCACCACAAATTTACACCCTACGACCTGTAGTTGATTTTTGTGAGAAGAATTAACCTTGGTAAGCAGAGCCATTTCCAGTGCTGCTTGGGGGAGACACAAAGCAGAACGATAGGAAAAACTATCACCCTCCAGTCACTCTCTTGCTCTCCATGTTCCTAGAACTACAGTTGCTAGAGCTTCGCAGGGAACGGAATCAGCATCCAGCAAACTAAGAAGACAGGAAGTGGACTTCAGGAAGGCAGAACACCAAGCATGCAATTAGAAAGAAGAGGAACAAAAAAGTGTAGACTGAAGTAAGAAAAGGTTCTAAAAACGAACATGGCACATGTAAGGAAAGCTGAAGGAGAAGGAGAAAGCAGCAGAAGGACTGAAGTACAAAACTTAAACCATGCATAAAAACGATGTGGTAGCCTAATGTGAAACAATTCAAAGATCCAAGAACTCTGCAATTGACACGAAAAGTTCCTAGATAAAACTTAAAGAAGCATCAAACATTTTATCTGCAACATGACGTGGCAGTTAGGTAATCCATTCGTGGGATATATGTTCATGGTTTGTATAAGTTACACGATTCAGGCTACGAAGGATTATGTGCTCTTTGACCAAGAATAGCGAGCAAGAGGTAGATATAACAACAAAGGATGCGAGTATCCAATATGAGAGATAAAGTAACAATAACGCGAAACAAGTACAGAACCTGAGGACCTGGGTCGTTTACGAATCCTCCCTTCCTCTTCCAAAAAGCTCGAGATAGCTCCAGATCTACTCCAGGACCGTCAAATCCCTCTCTTGATCGCTCTTACTGTCCTCTTTAGGTACACCTTGGCCAATCTTTTCGGCTTCCTCTCCGATCCCTGGTTCTCACAGAACAAATTCAAAATTGAGAAGTGGAGAAAGAAACAAATTCATCGCAGTTTTTTTGGGAGAAATCTGAATGAGATGGGAGCAAAAGGAGGTTGAGTAAAGAGAAAACATAAACGTGCTGGGTAAAAGAAATAGTGCAAAGAGATGAGTTTCTTTTTCCTCGTTTACATCTCCAACTCACCCATGTCTCTCTCCTTTCGGCTTCCTCTCCGATCCCTGGTTCTCACAGAACAAATTCAAAATTGAGAACTCGAGAACGAAACAAATTCATTGCAGTTTTTTTGGGAGAAATCTGTATGAGATGGGAGCAAAAGGAGGTTGAGTAAAGAGAAAACAGAAACGTGCTGGGTAAAAGAAATAGTGCAAAGAGCTGAGTTTCTTTTTCCTCGTTTACATCTCCAACTCACCCATGTCTCTCTCCTTTCTCTGGAAGGAGAAGTCCCTGACCCCCATCAAATGACCCAGAAAGCACTGGATAGAGGAAAGTTCCCCCGAGCTCCACAAAAGTACATCTACAGATCGTGGAGAAGCCGTATGAACCCACCGCTGGTGACCGGACTCGGAGCGCCGCCATTTCAGACTCGCTCCACCGTGAAGAAGAGCTGCCTAGTATACCATCGACTCCCGTCAATCCCTAGCGCAAAAAGAAAGGAGTAAAACAAATCAAAAATTAGAGATGAAGAGCTAGCTGATGGAGAGACTGCGAGAGAGAAAGAAGTCCACATCAAAACTCACCCGAAGCACTCGCTCCCCGTCAATCGCGTCAGCTGGGTTTGTCTTCCCGTCAATCGCAGCAGCTGGGCACACCGTGAAGAAGGCCTGCTTGAGAATGAGTAGAAGATCGATTCCATGGAGTCCTCCCTGGTTGCGCACAGAAAACAGACGGAACGGGACTACGGGGAAACCGGCACTGCAAATAGAGGGAGAACACAAAAGTCAATAGAAAGAGAGAGGAAAGGGCGAAATACAAATTGGAAGGAGAAAGAAGAAGAGGATATCTACAGTGCGGCACCCAAAGAAGAAGTCCATATCAAAACTCACCCAAATCAAGCGGAACCCAAAAAATGGAGTGCCGAAAGAGAGACCGGGAGAGCGATCTCATCGTAAATCGGAGCGCCGTCGTTCCAACATCAACCCATCGTTAAAATAACCCAGCAAGCATATCGTTGACTACCGTCTATCCCTAAAGTCTCCAGAAAACTGATAAAGAGTTGATCGCTCTTAACCTCGCCAGCATCGGTCGTCCGCTTCCTTACACTTCTTGTGGACGCCATTTTTGGAGAGGGGAAGAGAGAGAGAGAGAGAGAGAGAGAGAGAGAGAGAGAGAGGGAGAGGGGAAGAGATGAGGTGAGAGACGGGAGAGAAGGGAGTTGGAGAAGGAGAGGCTTTGGAGGTTTCTGGTCGAAGGCGCAGGTAGAGAGAAGGGAGAGAAGGTGAAAAGGAAGAGGGTCTTTTTAGCTTCTAGCAGCACCGGGTTTTTACCCTCTCTCCTTTGAGTCCTCTCTCGTAAAAGCCTAAAAGGCTTTCTCTTGCTCCCTGTCCCTAACATCTCGAGACCACCACCAAGAACTGAGCTTCCATTTCTTTTTCCAGCAGGGTCGAGTCAAATCCCTGTCTCGTACCAGTAGCCCTGAGAGAGAAGAAGGTCTGCGAGAAAAGACAGCCAGAGAAAGGGGAGGAAATCTAACCTGCTCCGCAGGCAACGCGCTCAGCTTTGCAAAGCAACGCGCAAAAGATCCCGTCCAAGCTAATAAAAACCGGAAAAAAACACTGCTGGCCCAAAACAACACACTGAAAAAAGCCACGGGGCCCACGTACAGGTAAACAACCAATTAGGGGAGACTGCACAGTAATTTTAGGTCTAAATGAATAGTGATCTTCAGTGTATGTATACAGTAGGTATGGTGTCTTTGGAAATAATTCTCTTTAATTCTCCAATGGATACCCTGTGGCCTGTTGAGTGAAGCTTGATCAAAGACTTCGTACAAGGAAAGAAAAGGGAATGCTGGCTATAGAACAAATGAAGAAAGTTTTGACAAATCAAGATGAAAGAAGAATCACGGTGATTGAGCATCAAGATTGATATGCAATGATCATCAATTTGGGAGTATATAATAGAAAGGGTTTTGGGTAGATAGTTCAACATTTCCGTGAAATTCAAAATCGAAATAGAGAGTATTGTCTGGGTTTTAAAAAGAAAAGGAAGAGAGCTAAGGTCAAAGGGATAATTCTGATCAAGTAGCAGGGAGTCACTATCAGTGGCGGATCCAGGGGGTGGCCACCCCGGGCCCCGGCCCAGCCCTCCCCTGGATCCAGAACTAGTGTATCCCTTATGAGTTTATCGATTTAACTATTTAGTCCAGTGTTATTTTATGATAAAATTGTGTGTAATTAGGAAAATGGGTAAGATGAACATATTCAAATCACAACTCTAAATTTAGCATGAAAATTCTAGCTCCAATAATTCTCATATAAAGAAAAGCAAACAATGAAACCTAAAATTCTAAAACGTAAAAGACTAAAAGAAATATGAGGTTTATTCTCTTAAAAAATTACTTGAGCAGCTGTTGAAAATAGGAATTGATTAGTCGATTGTGTTGACATTTGCGCAACAAAATGAACGATGAATTTCTCTCCAATTGGTAAACTATTTTATATTAAAGAGAGTATGCTATTGATGTGGATGTAAACTCTATTATTGATGAATTCACTATATTAAAATTTAAAAGATTTACGTGTACAATTGATATTGTAAAAAAAACTGTGATTTTTTTAATGATATCTAATTTTCTAATGAAATGCGGTCCAGTGCTACGCTGTGTCCTGGATTCGCCGCTGGTCACTATGGGATTGGCTTTGTTTCGTGTAATCCGAAACTCACATCATCATAGTATAATATCAAAGGACTCAATTAGAATGCCTTTGACCGTGGACTAGTTGATACCGATTTTCTCAGTATCAGAACTGTTCTCTTTCGTTTCCTGCACTTTCTTATTTCAAATAACATGTCTCTGTTTTGGTAGAAGTACTCTATTTTTTCAGGTATGAAGAAGGTCTGAAAGAACCTAGATTGGAGTTAGGTGGACGACAAGAGACGTACAAAACACTGCGAATTTGAGTCTACACATTGGAACAGTCTTAATCCAAAAAAAGACTTGGGCCATAAGCCCAATAACTATTCTTCTCTATCTAATTAATTCTGATCGGAATCAATCTCTATTGCACGAACGGATTAGGGCTTGAAGAAGAATCAAAACTCCAAAAAAGCTCTTGCAGTCTCGCGCTCGCCTCACCAACACACCCATGTTGAAAGAGAGGCAAAAAATTGCTTTATGAGGGGGGAAACTGAAAGGATTTTTTTCTTGGTCTCAAGCCCATTGTCTGAAGTGGATAACGTCTGATTGTAAAATCAGTCCCGCAACCTTAAGCCCACCTAATTATTAGCGGTTTGTGGGATTGGGCTCAAGAAAGGGTGCATAACCATGGTTATGCACCCATCAATAACCAAATCTGAACCCTTCATTTAGAAAATCCAGATCTAAGGATGGAGAATTAAAGACTATTTTTATTTTCACTAGCTTTCTTAATTGACTCATATCTTTTTCGTTTTAACTCGGATTTTAATTTTTTTTTGCACAGATGGAACGAGTTCACCGTGCTCTACAAAATGAGATCAATTTTCAATATTTTTTTAGGAAAAAAAATTTTGGGCTCTCGGTACCAACTGCATACCATATGGTATCTTCTTCGTTTTTAATTCGTTTTTGAAAACGTTTGCACAGCAGGGATGAGTTCATCATGATCTACTGGATCTACAAATTTCTGGGTGAACAAATTACAGGACCAAAAAATACCACACAATACCATACAATACCACCTTGGTACGGGGTGGTATTGTATGGTATCTTCTTCGTTTTTAATTCGTTTTTGAAAACGTTTGCACAGAAGGGACGAGTTCATCATGATCTATTGGATCTACAAATTTCTGGGTGAACAAATTACAGGACCAAAAAATACCACACAATACCATACAATACCACCCTGGTACGGGGTGGTATTGTGTGGTATACAATGTTAAAAGTCGTAAATTACAATTAATATACTTCTACTATCATGTATTCAACCATCCTATAGTATTGGTTTGTTCATACCACCATGGTACGTTTTTCAAAACATAGGTATGCTTTTATTTCAATACCAGTCAATACCATATGGTATAGGCTGGTAAAAAATGACTCAATTTTTTTTGTTCGAAAAATATTGTAAAGTGGATATCATTTTGAAGAGCACAATTAATCTGATCTAACTGTGCAAAAAAAATTAAATTTCGACTTAAAATGAGCGAGAAATCGTCCGTCAAAGATTAAAGAGGGAAAAATTAAAAGCTTTCCATGAGAGAGAGGATGTTGATATCATGCTGATGTGGACGGGTTACTCATGGTTACTCACCATAAGGTTACTGACCTGATCCATTCCCGTGGGATTGGGAACGGCTTCACACTAACAATATGCTAGTGAACAGTAATCAGGTTTTCCATTTATATAATTTAATGGGTTAATAGCATTTTGTACTAGGGCTGCTAACCGGTTTTTCGGTTAACGGGTTAACCGATAACCGTACCGGTAACCGCGGTTATCGGTTAACCCGTTAACCGAACCAAACGATAAACGGCTGGGAGTTGTGGGTCTGCCGGTGTACAGAGTCCGATATGGTAAAATACCGTCGGAATTCGGTATTCCGATACCGAAGTGGATTCACTAAATCAGGCAATTTCTTCAGCAAACCCAAACGTCGTCGGCGACTCGGCAACTCAATTCTCAAAACTAAAGTCCAAACAGAAACCCTAAATCCTAAGCAATTAACCTTTCGGCCTTTCCCCTGCTGCCCTACCCTGCCCTGCTGCACGATTGTCGTCTGCCGCCGATCAATCCTCAGCGGCTCAGCTCATCCAATCCGACAGGCGAGAGTAGCTTCGTCGTCTCCGTCTCCGTCGCCGGCAAGAGACAGTCATCCTCTCCGGCCTCCACCAGGCTCTGTTTCCGGCAAAGGCCGACGCTACAGAAGCCGACACCACTCTGCTGTCTCTGCAGTCCTCGGCTTTCGCCAAATCAGAGACGGTGAGTGCTCTCAACTCTCAAGTCTCCCTGCTTCTCTGTTTCCCTGTTTCCCTGCTGGCTGCTACTCTGTTTCCGCCGTTGCCCTGCTTCTCTGCTTCCGCCGGCAAGTCCTTCCGACGTTGCCCTGCTTCTCTGTTTCCGGCAAGTCCTTCCTCCGGTGGCCTGTTACCATGGTCCAATGGATATGTCCACCACTCACCTGTTCAATTCTTGTTGCCTTGCCGAGCAGAGAAGAAAAGCATGGGATCAGAGTTTTTATTTTTTTTTTTGGTCGAAAGGGACGAGGGATTGTCAATTTGTCATTAGTCACTTCTCACTTGTCAGGTCAATAGTGAAGCCGTGAAGGCTGAAGGGACCAGCAGAAGCAAAGCAATAATGCAATATATAAATAACTAATAATTACTTGATTACTTAATTATTTGTTTTCATGTTTTGTAAATTGTAATTCACTAATTTAGTAATTTGTACAATTGTACTTTTGTTCACTTTTTGGTACAGGTCACACCACAAGGTCAAGACTCAAGAGGTGGTCTTTGGTTTATTGTTACTTGAGAAACAAAGTGAAAAATGTAAGTTTAATGTTAATGGTTTATGGTTTGGTTTGGGTGATTTTTGTTTTTTGACATGTCGACAATGGCATTTTAATGATTTTTATTTTTTTATGATTATTTACTTTTTGTTATAGGACAAAACCTTCTCGTCCTCGTAAAGGAGATGGTCCGAAAAAAAGTGGTTCAGTTCCTCCTCGAACCACTTCCAAAAAATTGGGTACTCGTGTTGGAGTTGCAGAAGGGAATCAAGGGAATGTCTCATCTAGTACACCTACACCTACCACAGGCATTGAATCTGCACCTGCTACTACTACTGCAACACCTGCAGTTGCTACGCCAGCGGATGGAGTTGGTGAGCCCAAGAAAAATGTCAAGGGACCGGGAAGGAAGAAGAGATCCCCGTGGTGGGATTATTATGATGATGCTGTGGTGGATGACTACCCATATGGTAAATGCAAACAGTGTGGAACTCTGATAAAAGCTCACTCGATCAATAACGGGACTACTGGTTTGAAAAACCATCACTTGTCATGCGAGAGAAAGAGGAAGGAAGCCAGTGGTCAATCACTATTGAATTATCAGCCTGGGGATGGTGAGGTAGGCTCTCTTACTCCATGGAAGTTTGATCAACAAAAAGCTAGAACTGCATTAGCTGTAATGATCATCTTGGATGAGCTGCCATTTCGCTTTGTTGAGCATGAAGGGTTTAAGAGATTTATGGCGGTAACCCAACCATTGTTTGTGATACCTGGAAGACAGACAATAAGGCAGGATTGTTATATAATATTTTTGGAGAAAAAGGAGTTGTTATCTGAGTTCTTCAAATCCAAGTGCAAAGGAAGAATTTCTATCACCACAGATACATGGACTTCTGATAACAACCAGAACTTCATGTGTGTAACTGCTCATTTCATTGGGAGTGACTGGAAGCTGCAGAAGAGGATCATTAGCTTTGTTCCCATCACTAGTCACAGTGGGAAGGATATTGCAGAAAAATTGGCAGAGTGTCTACAAGATTGGAAAGCACAACATTTGTTCTCCATTACCATGGATAATGCTTCTTCTAATGATGTTCTTATAGAGTGTATGAGAACAAAGATGAAAGAGTGGGGAACAGATTTGCTTGGTGGGAAGTATTTGCAATTTCGATGTGTGGCACATATAATCAATTTGGTTGTG